GTGTTTGCCCAAAGATACGAAGACGGATGGCAGGGCGGCTGCGCCGTCACTGTTACACGACATGGCGCTTGCTCCGAACCGGGGCTAGGTTATTGCCGATTTCCGTGTGGTTGTGACGGATGTGTCACCACACCTTCGGATACCGACCGACCTGGACGCCTCTGGATGCCTCGTTGAGCTCGTGAGAGAGAAGGGAGGGGAAACGGAACGTTGCCCAGCCTTGGCGGTCAGGCTTGGTCAAGGTTTTTTTTTTCCTCCTCACTTCTCTTCAGTCACCAGGGCTAGAACGTTCTGTTGGGACTCGATGCAGATGCAGATGCAGAGCAGAGCGCAGAGTGCTGCTACTGGCTGGAGTATGAGGTTGGGCACAAAGCTGAAGGCAGGTCGGCAAAGTGGCATGCAAGCGAGGAAAAAAGAAAGTGTGGGAGTGAAAGAAGAAAGCAGCAACTGCCGGCAACCAGCACACAGAGTTGGAGGGGTAGCAGCGGGCAGGCAGGCTAATATGCAGTTTTCTTTCCCTGCAATGCGACACGAGGGTGCGAGGGAAGGCTGAAGTGAAAAGATTGAGACATCCATATCCCCGCCGAGGCCACCGGGTACTGTAGCTGACCTAGGTGTAACGAAGCACCAATGGTGAGCCTTTGGACAGGAAAAAAGGCAACCTCTTCTGTCGCCCCTGACAAGTGTGACGACAAATTGTGTACTTTTGGCCCCCAAGGAGGTTACCGCGGGGCGAAGTGAAAGTGAGCTCATCACCTCGGGCTAAAGTAAGGTCCTTGTTGAGGGGCGACGAGGGCACATACCGAACGTAGGACCTAGGTAACGCTGCGGCGCGGGCCGAGGAAGTAGGACGGCCCACACAGCTGACCTTGAAAAGGCAGTTTTCGAGGTGCTCAATTGCGCGTGCGATGACGATTGAGGATGCTGCCATATAGAAACCGGGCGACGGCGGGGAGGCGGAGAGCTGATTTTCCATTTTCCGCCTGCCAATCAAGAAGTTGCTTGTGTTGCCCGAACATTGAATCCAAATGCGACCATCGGCTCGGGAGCGACTGAGAAAAACAGGACCCGACCCGAGGATATCTATCTGCCTCGATCTAATTTCGGAAACAAAAACGAAAACAACCCAAAAAAAAAAAAAGAAAAAAAAAGGACAGGTTTTGCCGTGCCATGTCCGGGCGGGACAGCACCAGGCCAGACCCTCGCCGTGTCTGTGACTTGTCTGGGCGGGCTGCGACTGCATCTGTTTTGGGGGAGCATCAAGGCCCGGGGGGCAACGGACTGCCTGGCATGGTTCCCTTTTGTTTTGGTGTGGGCTGCAGCTGCAGCCTCCGCGGCTTGTCACTGTCAGCCAAACATGATAGTCCGATCGGATTCCGGCGCCCGACCAGCGCACTGGAACCGCTGACGTCTCTCCCTGCTTGTTTGCTCATTCATGCTCTCTGCTCAGTTGCGATGACTCTTCCATTGTTGACAGCCCTGCTGCAGGCCGGGTTTGCTTGTGGGCGTGCAGATCACTCGCGCGGGACAGACAGCACCCGGCCGTGCTTTGTTCGTTTGTCCCCCGAGCTGACTCTATTTCCGAAAATCTGACATCCATGTCAAGAAAAACCAAAACCCCAACCAACAGAAGCTTGACACTCGACTGTATCAACAAAGTTCGGATGCACCATGCGATCGCCAGGCTGGCAGGGTTGTGTGTGGATTCCCTTTATGGTTGGCTGTGCTGCTAGCAGCTCGCTGGGAAAAAAACACAACAAAGCAGACAGGGGTCGGGGAAGGGAAAACAGCCGCGGGTTCCTTCTCCCGACGGTAAACAAAAAAAAAAAAAAAAAAAAGGGCTCCAGTCTTTTCCCAATGTTTCAGCCGTGCTTGAAGAAAAAAAAGACAAGACCCGCGTAGCCCCAAAAGGACGTTTGCCCCGCTTTTGCCCATCCGCTGACCTGGTGCGGGCGGCTGAGCCGTTCCATCTGAGGCCCAGCCCGACGACCGCCTGCTGTCCTGGGCTGCTCCCATCCAGACACGTCTCTGCCCGTCAGAGTCTGTGAGGCGCGCTACCGCGGAGGAGCGGCTGTTGACATGATTGTGATCCTCAGGCTTCTTTGTCGGGTCCCATGTGACATCCACTCGGCAGACATTGACTGGGTGATGATGGTCGTGTTGGCGATGATAGTCAACAGGTGGCCGAGGAGAGAAATTCCACCCCCTGTGAGACCTTCCCGCAAGGCTGGATGGAATCTGTAACTTCTCCAACCTGGCAACTCAGGGGGCCTCCCACATGCCGCAATAGGGGACGAGCAGGGACCACACGCGCCATCGGACACCGCAAAGAGGCGGCATTGAACTGCCGGCGATCTCATCTGGAATCTGTCCGCCCCGCCCCGGGATACAGTTTTCCATCTTTCCACGCGCCCTTCCCTGTCCACGCCCGCCCCCTTGTTCCGGGGCATCGCAAACGGGCCTGGCCTAGATCTGCGGAGTGTTTCCTGTTATCTCTTTTTTGTCTTTGTTCCTCCTTTCTGTTTGTCGTCGAGCAAGCGCCCATCTTGATCGTTTGTGCCACCTTCTCTGCCAGCTGGTCTGATCGGTCCCCGTCTTCGTTTTTTTTTTCTTTTCTCTTGGTGGTTCCTGCTGGCAGCTCCTCCCGTTCGTGAAGCTATATTTTTTATACCGTTCACTCATTCGTGCCTCTCCGCACGCCTTAATATCGTGACCGTCTGTGACGAGTCCATCGTCACCATCTTTAATATTTGTCCCAGACGAGCTGTCTCGCACGTCGTCCTTGTATCAATCCTCGGATTGACAGCAGCGGACCAGGCAAAGGCAAACAACCCGAAAACGCGCCTCTGATCGAGACGGTGCTGTGTCCTCAGCTTGCCCGTGAAACGGCAGGTTCGGTTGTCTAACGACACCGTGAGAAGTGGGCGCTCCCGCCGATATATCCACGAGCTCGTGTTCTGGTGTGTCTTGCCTTTTCTGCTGCTGATCCGGCAGAGCCATCATCTACCGACCCTCCACCATCCAAATATGGTCAACCACACGTCTGCCGTCTCGGGCGGGTACAGCATCTTCACCTCTCCTGCAGAGCCAAGATCCAGTCTGTCCGATGTCAACAACAAGCTTCTGCGGCCGAAACGCCTTGACGTTTATGTTGCCCTCGGCTGCGTGTTACTAGTGGCATATCTTTTCCAGTCGTACCGCGATGCGAAGCGAAAGACTGTCGCTGTCCCGTTCTACAAGGCCTCGTTGCTCAAATGGATGTTTGACGCCGAGAGCTTGGTGATGGACAGCTACAATAAGGTCAGTATGGAATCTTTTTCCTGCGTGTGCTCTACAACAGAAAAGCACAAACGCTCATGCCCACAGCAGTTTTACGGAAAGGTTTATCAGATCAAGGCCACTGAAGGCATTCGGGTCATGATCCCACCAAATCTACTGGGTGAGATCAAGGGTCTGCCAGAGGAGACGCTGAGCTCGACGGCGGCAGTGGCTGAGGTAGGGTTCCTGGCTTTTCTGTGAATGAACGGAAGAAAACGGCAACCCAAGCTAACAAAGGGGCTATAGGCGATGTTGGGCGAATACACGCACTTCCACCTGGGCAAACACACAGACCTGATGTCGGCGCTCATCAGGACCAAGCTCACGCAAAACGTGGTCCGGATGGTCCCGCGCATGAAGGAGGAGATCGACCATCTCGTGGCGGCCGAGTTCCCCGAGTGCAAAGACTGGACGGCCGTGAAGATCAGCCCGTTCGCCATCCGCATCGCGTCGCGCGTGGGCGGGCGCGCCTTCGTCGGGCCCGAGCTCAGCCGCGACGACGAGTGGGCGGACGCGAGCGTCGGCTTCTGCGTCCACGTCTTCACGGCCGTCGTGAAGCTGCAGGTCATGCCGACCTGGCTGCGGCCCCTGGGCCAGTTCCTGGTCACGGACCTGGGCAAGATCCGGGACAACATCCGGCGCGCGAAGCAGCTGATGGCGCCCGTGATCGAGCAGCGCCTGCGCGACATGGAGACGCCCGGGGTTGCCGAGAGCTACCCCGACGACCTGATCCAGTGGGTGCTCGAGGCGCTTCCCGCGGCGGAGCGGACCGACACGGACTCCCAGGTCATGCTGCAGCTGGTGCTGTGCGCCGCGAGCATCCACAGCAGCAGCAACCTGTTCGTCGAGAGCATTTACGACCTGGCCGACAAGCCCGACGTTCAGGCCGAGCTCAGGCAGGAGGCGGAGGAGGTGTTTGCCAAGGGCGGGTGGTCCAAGCGGGAGAGCATCATGAAGCTGAAGAAGATGGACAGTTTTATGAAGGAGGTTCAGCGGGTGAGGGGCAATATCAGTGAGTACCGCATACCCAAGTAGGTATCTTCATACAAAAAGACAACCAGCTGACACCGACCAACCAACAGCCGGCTTCATCCGCAAGGTGGTCAAGCCCATCGACCTCTCGGACGGCACGCACCTGCCGGCGGGTACGAACCTGCTGGCACCGCAGGTGGGCATGTCGCAGGACCCGCGCTTCTACGAGTCGCCCGAGACGTTCGATGCGCTGCGCTTCTACAAGATGCGGCAGCGGTCCGACGAGGACCGGAACCGGTGGCAGTTCACGTCCCTTGAGAACACCAACATGAACTTTGGCGCCGGCAAGCACTCTTGCCCCGGCCGGTTCTTCGCGGGGACCGAGATCAAGATGCTGCTGGCGTATTTCCTGCTCGGCTACGACATGAAGCTCAAGGACGGCGAGGAGAGGCCAAAGGGCTACCTCGTCATGATGTCCAAGGGGCCGAACCCGGAGGGCGAGATCATGTTTCGGCGGAGGGAGGGGTGATGGAGCCGCGACTTGTGCCGATTTACATAGAGGTATTTACTGCACACAAAGAGCGCACGCAGCCCGAATATACACAATCCTCTGCGCCCTCGGCATGGCTTGGTTTATAACCCTAAAAAAAAAAAAAAAAACGTAGGCAAGGAAAAAAAAAAAAAAGAGAAGGCCGAAAGACCGGGAATTGAGCCCGATGCGGGGGTCGAACCCGCAACCTTGAGATGCCTCGCGGCTAAGAGTCTCACGCTCTACCGATTGAGCTAACCGGGCGAGTAGGTGTTTGTTGAGACACGAGACAACCGCAGAGTCACAATAGGGACCTGGTCATGCCGTTGACGCTGTGCCTGGGCGGTCTTGTCCTGCCCGTTGCCGCCGCCGGTAATTGAAGCCAGTCCGGGAACATGCACAACACGCAGGACAAGGTCTCGCTGGGGGTGTCCAGTCAGCACCAAAAGTACAGAGCAGAAAATGATACCCGTTTGAAGGAGGGGTGTAGCCATCTTTCGAGGCCCTTCCCCTTCAGCAGTGAGGGCGGAACTGATTATTAAACAACAAAGAGCAGGAGCAGCAACCCTCAACTCAAAGTACACGCGTCCATGCTACTCTGCGCTCACGGAGCTCATGGGCCCGGCGGCTTTCCGGCGCTTATGGCATTGGCATTGACGGTGCGGTGCCATGGGGCGGGGGCGGGTACGGCTACACAAAGGGTAAAAGAGAATGGGGAATGAATGGATAGGGGCGACAGACGCCCAACGTTACAGCCGGCCAACACGCGCCCTGCGTCACCCGACAACCCGCCTTTTGGTGGCCTCGAGCGGTCATGTCAGCGTCAAACTTACCTACCGGCAGATAGAGAGACACCCCCGAGGAACCACTTGACGGCATGGCATGAACTATGAATCCCGGGTACCGTGCATATATGTCACCGTCAGCTTCGGCCACTGGAGCGATATGTAGGTGCCTAGGTAGGTAGGTATTGTAGCCAAGGCAGCAAGCATCAGGCCAGTCGGGGACACAGGACTAGCACGGGACCGAGAATGCGTTCAGTTCAAATAGGCATCATGTCGCGAGCGCCTCATGGACAGGACAGAGCACTCCAACACCACCTAGCTGGTGGAGCGCGGACAGGTGTACAACGCTGAATGGAGCAGCAAGTTTCCGCCCCTTGCCTGTTTGCTGCTCTTCTTGCCTGGCTGGGCTGGTCAAGACGATGGCACTCGTATACCCTTACCATCCCCATCACCCGCGGTGCCCTAATCCGTGCAATAAAAGCCAATGTCCAAAATATGGCAGAGACGAACTTTCTGTGGATATCTCCGGCAGGGACGCCGATGCGGCAGCTCCCTGAATATGTAGACTAGAATATCAATCTCCTTTGCTCCAACGATATCCAAAACAAAACATTACAGTGTCAACTCAAGCGGCCCAAGGCACCCCTTCATTCTTGCTATATCCATCACATTAAGATCCAATATCGAAAGAAAACAAGACCAGTGAAAGAGGAGAAACGGTCGCGAGGAATAATTGAAAATTGCGATTATTATAGCAAAATATCATGCTTGACACCCAAAAATAACGCCGCCCAATGCATGTATCCCTGATGTGACTTGAGGATCAGAAAAGATCCTCGTCCATCGCCCAGAAGCTTTTCTTAAATGCTCCCCCAAACAGTGTAATCCAAAAACAAGTATTAAGAGATGATGCCCCCATGTAAACAGTAAGAGTAAAAACATAAACAACAGTCGCTATGCAGGTTGGGTATCATGATCGTCGTAAAGTGCAAATACAATGGTGCTTGCGTAAGGAGTGTGGTGTGGAGATTATTGCGGTGCGGCATGCCGCGGTGCTTGGGTCGTAAAGGTCGTCAAAGGAGCGTCTATGGTGAGGAATAACCTGTATGTGTCCATCCGTGGCCAGATAAGAAAAAGGAACGTCTATGTTGGGTATCTCTGGTTGTGGTTGACAAAGGAGCGTCTTGTGGGATATTATGCAACGCGCTGCGGCCATATGTGCGCAGCGGCGAATGCTTTTCGTGATAAGGAATGTCGTCAAGTTGGATGCGGCTGATTGTGGTTGCGCCGGGCAGTCGTGAGGTGTGAACGGTCGTGATGCCGAGATCGATCGGGTTCTAGGGAGTGTGTTGTACATTTGCGTCTGTTGTCCAAGGTGGTATTAAAGGGCGGCGGGTGGATGGTCGAGTGGCGATATAGACCAAGCCGGAAGGAACGGCCATGGGCCATCGAATCGATCGAAAGTCGAAAAAAAGGGAAGCGCAAAAACGCCAAGCGAGTGCTAGCCAAACAGCAGGAGTCGAGTTTGTTCAAGGAAAAGCGAAGCCAAAGAAAGCGAAAGTCGAAGCCGCTATCCCTGCCTCTCGGTGGGCGTGGGGGAGAACGAGGGAGCATGGTCCATCATGGACGGAGGCGCCGAGGCGACCGACGTGACGGACGGATTATGGCGGTGCGAGGGCACCGAGAGGCACGGAATAGGCGACTCGGGTGGAGGCAGGGTGGCGAACTGCTCGGGCTTCAGAAAAGGAGAAGGAGCCAGGGCCGGAAGCGAGGAAGACAGCAACGACAGCGCATCTTCAGGAGGCGGGAAAGTTGGAGTGGTGCTAAGCCAAGTAGGAGTCCTGGGGTCCAAAGTCAATCATTACTGCTCGGAATGTCCACGTGGCTGAAGCTGCGTCTCGGCTCGGGCGTTCGTCGGCGTAGGCGGACAACGGCCGGCCGACCGGCATACTTCGGCGGCGGAGGTGGATGGGGTGGAGGGTCCCGGGGAGACCTAGATCCACAGGGGCTGGGCGGAAGGAACGAACCCGACGCCAAAGCTGCTCGAACCACCCATCGGGGTGCCCGCAGCGAGGCCCATGTCATACGACCCAAAGTCCTCATGGTCGCTATAGCCGAGGGAGGACGTTTCGCCAAACTCGCCAAAGTCGTTGATGTCGCCGCCAAAGCTGCTCGACGCGGGGCTGTAGCCACCATACGAGGGGCTTGGGATGTTGAGGTACTGGTGGTTGGCGAAGGGCGACGACAGCTGCAGCGGGCTGATGGCACTGGCCGGCGCCGACACGGCCGGGAGGCTGTCGTGCGTGATCACTGAGAGATCCTCGGTACTGTAGCTGAACGCCGGCGTGTCACCGTACGGTCCATACGCGGCGCTCGTCACAGGCGGCATGGCCATGGCCGTGTTTTGGGGCATGTAGAAGTTCGGCGGGTCAAACTGCGGGAACGAGGGCGTGCGGACCGGATGGGCCCATCCCATGCGCGAGCGGAACTCGCTGACCGTCTCGATGGGGAACTCCATCAGCGGAAGAGGCGACGACACGCCCTCGAGGTTGCCCGACACGTTAAACGACAGCAGGCGCCGGGCGATCTCCTCCACGGGGCCCAGCGACAGGCTACCGAAGTAAGCCGCGCCGATCTCGGGGAAGAGGCGCTCCATGACGAGGGCCACCGTGTAGTAGTGCGCGATGATGAGCAGGGCGCTGGCCGACCCGCCAGTCTGCTGCAGAAACTCGACGGGCAGCCAGAAGAGCCAGGTCCTGAGATCCCTCAGACGCTCAAACTGCGAGGCAACATTGAAGGCCGGGCTGACCTTGCGGGCACCCTTGAGGAAGGTGATCAGCTGCGCAACCGACTTGTGGTCCTCGTGGTTGTGCTTGAGGTGAGCCTCGAGCTTCTGAAGCTGCTGGAGCGTCCGCTGGAACGCATCGATGTCCTCCTGGTGAGGCTGGCTGGGCTTGTGGTCCGGCGTCGGCGACGGAGGCGCCGTCGGGAACGTGCTGCTCTCGGCAATGAAGTCGCCGAACTGGGACTCGTGCTTCCAAGGATCCATGGCCTCCATCACCTGTTGGGGCACCAGAATGCTTTGCGTCAGTAACTGCATGGCGTGCATGGCATTACATCAAGCCGGCCTAGGCTCATTCGCGTGCGACAGCCACTTACCGAACGGGTTCCCTGCATAAGTTGGGTCCAGCTCCGCCTGTGCGTGGCTCGTTAGCTTAAATGCATGCCTATTTCTGGTTTGGGTCCTGTGCGTCGCTGTCGCATGCAGCTCACCGGCTGCAAGCGTGCGCGGCAACGTGCAGGAAATATTGACGTACCAATCCGTGGCCTGCCACGAGAGCACAAGTGAGGCCGCGAGAACAGCATCCGAAGTTTCCCGGGAAAAGGTGCCGATGGCCTCCTGAAGGCCCTTGAGGGCAACACCCCGATGCTCATAGGCCATGTTGCCGACCAGAGGGCAGTCGGTCAAGAAGGCAATGTGCATGGCAGAGAAGGCGAGCAGGGCGTGCATGACATAGCTGTGGGTGGCACCAATCTTGATGAGCCTGTGGTGGAAAAACCTTGTCAGCAAGACAGATCGATCATGGCCGCAGTACCCAGATCAGTGTGGAAGGCCTTACGTAGGGATCTGGCGGGTCCACAACGTGAAGCCGTCAGCGTCGATACGAAGCATCTGATCGCTGATGGACGCCACGTGGTGGATGAGACGCAGGTCCTCGACCGAAAGGGCCTGCGGGTTGGGAGCCGGGTAGATGTTCATGCCAGGGAACGGGAATATTCCCGTCCGCTGCCACTGTTCAATGGCCGCCTCGTTCTCCGGGGTCCACATGAGATCCGGCCGGTCAGGCGAGGTCGAACGTTCATCAGAGACCGGGATGTCATTGTAAGGGCACCGGATCTTGTGCTTGGTGCAGTTGCGGCTAAAGTGGGCGGTCAGCGGGCCTGGACAAAATGGATTTTTTGGGGTGAAGAGCAATGATTCGCATACCATTGGGGGAAGGTTTCATCGCAGCGAATGTGTCGGCGTTTGCTAGAACGACAAGTGTTAGAAGGTGTGCACGGTTTACTGGAAACATGGAAGCTCCCATGAAGTGCGGCGAGCAGGGCACCATAACCATGCATGAACCTACCAGGTCTCACAACCCTTGCGGGACTTGGTGTGGCTGCAACGCAAAAGGGGTTAGAACTGCATCTGAGCGCGTGGAAGCTTGAACAGCGTGAATGTCTTACCTCCGTCGAGGAGGACCACCACCAGGGCCAGCCATTGCGAAGGCTTATTAAAAGTTAAAGCTCAAAAGGGGTAAGCGAGAGAACTGTGTTACAGTCAGTTAGTGTACTGCACTCTTGCATGAGGGGTAAGAGACCCAGGAGTTGTGCAAAGTCACAGACAAGCGACGATATATAAGGGCGGCGAGCAGATCGGCCGAGTGCGGCGAGGGTGGGGTAATGGCAGCATGGCAGTAAGGCAACAGGCAATTA